TACAAGCTGGACTGCATAGTAGGTTCTACGGATGATCGAATTCAACCTTTGTCTCGAAATCCTACTGTTTATTACCCCGTTATATGGTAATTTGATGAAACCCTTTCTCTTAGGGGCGGTATGGATTGTAGGTTTAGAGACTAACTGACTTCTACACCTGTTTAAAAATTTTAAAGGATATCCATTTTCAACAAGAGTATCCATTAATATTTCGTTTTCTTTGTCTATAACATCAGCCGTGTAAATACGCTGAATCCTCTTGAATAGACACTTCACCAAGCCTCTCTTATACTGTAATGGACAGAAACTGTGAAAATTAAGGTAATGCCCTGTCCAAGTGGGCTTTCTGTAGATAGACCGTTTTATTGAGCCATCATCCCTTCGACTCAGAAGTATGTCTGAAAATGCAAGGTGGTTGCAACTTTCTTCCTCGCATGTAAGACTAATATGATTCTGTACAGAGTTAAGTCTGTCTAATAGACGACTCGCGTCTTCATGATCGTCGCATATCAAATACGGTAGAAGACAGGAGTCATTAAAAAACCGTCAAGAGAGTACTGGACAGCTGTTTCGTCCTTTCTTAGGAATCTCCATCAGTACGCGCATACACCTATGATCTCAACAAAGATGGAATCCAAGGTCGAAACAGCTGTCCAGTACTCATTGACGGTTATCCAAACAGAAATCAATTGGTAATCAATCAAATCCCAACAAGTAAACAGTTAACAAGATTAAAATGAATTTGGGTGTGTACACCATTCGTTAATTAACCAACATATTGATGTTCTGATGACGCTTAAATGGGTGGAAGTAGTAATGAAATGATTAGGAGTTGTGCTTCATTCCATTAAACACACTCAACGACTTTCAATCGCTGGGAGGGGTCATGAATACAAACTGAGCTCAGCCAATTAAAGTTTTGGCAGGCAGATTGTATTATTAACTCTCTTACACAATGTGTAAAACATTGAAAATTGAATCGAAATACAATTGGTTATTCTGTCTCACATACAACTTTCGCACATTATAGTGCTTTTGAATTTACTCTTTTCTCTAATTTTGTGCATCTACTTTTGAGTGTGGCACCCTGAACTGCTGCAGCTGTTGTGTACAAAGTTCTACGCTGAAACTTATTTATAGACAGACAGCAGAAAACGGGTTAGACGGTTGGAAGCCCAAACTTGGAATTCGGTTTCGCGCTAGTTGGCACTCACAAGTCAGAAAAAGGCGACCTTGGAGGAACTCATGTCCCTTTTGAGATTCGAACCCACGTCACCCAGTGAGTACTGCAGTCAGAGACTTTACCACTGAGCTATTCGGACTCACAAGTGACCTTCTGTAGGGCTGCATTAGATACTTTGATTGGACACTAGTAACTAGTGTGATGTGTCTAGTTATTATTTTATTGTTATTAGTTATTATTTTCTACTATAATTTCGGTGTAAAAATTACAGAAAGCATTTTTTTTCAACATTAATCATTACTATGATACCTTTCGTTAAGACTATCAGTGAAGATAATGATTTGAGGACACATTTCTCATTATACTCTTCTCTGCACACGTACCGATAAACCTACGCCATTGTATGTCCAAATAGACAAATATAGAGATTTTAATTCGAATCAATAAAGTAACTATATGAGAAACTGATTATTTTAAGAAATAATAATAATAATCTACTCTATTCCAAAAACAGTACTTTACGATGAATTCAGTGCTTAACATGTTGTCCAGAAGGAAGAAATGAAAACTTGGCAATTGATAAGCCATCCTACTAAGAGAAGATAAACAAATAAATTAAAAATATCCATCTGAGCTACAAATCTCGTCCCCCCTCCACTCCGTCCCAATTATTTCAATATGTTAAATTAAGAATTCGACGACGTGGAGTTCAGAATTTTAGACAAGTGATTTTTCGACACAAAACTTTGCACATTAAGTGCAGAGCAGTTCAAGTTGTTATGTACACACAAGGGTAGAGTAAAAATGAAATGCAAAGATGCTATGATAATAATAGAAGCAACGATAATTGCATAGAAAGTGATGAAGAAATTGAGCGATGTGAGGAATTACAAAACAGTGAATGCATGTGCATCATTGTGAACGGTTTCAAGTCATATCACCTATGGTCTTCAGCCAATTGGTTCTTAGTGTCTTTACCACCCTAATTTCCTATATGTTTTAGCTTAAACCAACAGTCAAAGAATCCATTGATTGACCGCTAACACTTTTTCAAACTGATCTCACGTTGGCTAACATTGGTTGACATGAAAAGCGATCGCTTGTAGGTTCAAAACCTCATCGATTAACAGGATACTGGTGTAACAACAGAAGACAAGGGCCAGGCAACAGATCGTTTTATTACGAAAATCAACACGTATTTATATATATTTTAGGTGCATTAATAAGGCTTATGCAAGGAGAAAAAGGCAGTCTTCTGATTGGTTGTTTCTCGGAAGTTAAGCAGACAAACACAGTCTTATGATTGGTTGTGTTCGATATTTCTCGGAAAGTAGAGCCATCTATCTGCGAATCATATTTGTCCACATTTAGGTTTGCTGTGATTGGTTGTTGAAACAGCCTTGTTCACGGCCAATATTAGTGACCTAGACATTAACGTAGATTAGTGCCAACCAATCGGCTAGCAGCCTGCTCTCACCACACTCGTCCCCCCGTCAAATACGTGCGACTGAAGTCGGCTTGATCTACTTGGTGCAGGCGTCATCGTTGGCTTGTCTCGCTGTATCCATTTCTGGAGCTCGCTGACGTTCACGCGCCTCTCATTGTTCGCCATTGCGACTGTGTCTGCGTAACCCCATCTCGAAGTGACCATATATGGTCCTTCCCACTTTGGAAACTGTTTGCCTGACCCTGTCGAACATTCGTCCATACTTCGGCCCACACCTTCATATGCTGCTTTCGCCCGACCTCCCAGCAGCGTCTCAAGTAGCAGCTCCATCGCTGACAGATTTTGAACGCCACTCAACTGCGCAGAAGCCTTGAAGTCCTGCCCGAAGATCCATATGTCTCCATCAAAAACTGCAGGGTATAGGCTTTCCATTTGTCGGTAGGCAGCGACACCAAATGTAACAACAGAAGACAAGGGCCAGGCAACAGATCGTTTTATTACGAAAATCAACACGTATTTATATATATTTTAGGTGCATTAATAAGGCTTATGCAAGGAGAAAAAGGCAGTCTTCTGATTGGTTGTTTCTCGGAAGTTAAGCAGACAAACACAGTCTTATGATTGGTTGTGTTCGATATTTCTCGGAAAGTAGAGCCATCTATCTGCGAATCATATTTGTCCACATTTAGGTTTGCTGTGATTGGTTGTTGAAACAGCCTTGTTCACGGCCAATATTAGTGACCTAGACATTAACGTAGATTAGTGCCAACCAATCGGCTAGCAGCCTGCTCTCACCACACTGGTATCTAAAGATCTTAGAAATTGGCCCAAATGAATGTTTAATTCTTGTTGTGATTCCCGCCCCCCCCCCGGATTCTATACCATAAAAGAATCTACGACGAATAACATATTCAGATATAATACAACTTATAGTATACACACAAATTAGACTCCACCATTATTGTGAAGAAGGAAAAGTAATCAATCCCTGAGAAATTGTATAATTCAATAAAATGGAAATCTTTAATAATTCACACGTATGTACATATTTCTGTTCAGTGAACTTTGAATATATATTTATAAAATAGTGAGAAATCAACAATTAACTATTTGAAACAAAAACTTTACAACATACCAAATAAGCAAATTTTTCAACTCGTTTAGCCATTTTATGTACTATAAGTATATATACTAAGATTCCTATCACTTTTGTTAAGTACTCCCCACTTTTCTCAGTGATTTAAACGAACAGATGAATTATAATTAACGGTAAATCAATTGTATGATACTGACATAACGTCACGTGAGTCCTTTGGCCTGTTTTGATTGGCTAATAACTGACTACAGAAGAAATTAAAAATGATGGTTCCGTTGAAGTCGTGTCTAAATTGTGGCGTTATATATGTGGACGCTAAGGTTGGGAAATCCGCCAGAACTATTCACCTGTAAGATTTGTTTGAATGACTTCCGACAGAGACTGAGATCGATTCGAGTATTGATGGACAGCTAATTAGTAAGTCTTACCCTAGGAAACTCATCATCTGGCAAGATATATGATCTAGTGTCATCAAGCCTCACGGAGACTACACTAACATGAAGCCTATGGATATAGATACAACGGAGAAAACATTATTCATGTGCAATCGCTTTTCTATATAATTTCATTGAATCAGTGGAACTTCAAAGAATCCATCTCATACATAGTTGCTAATGTCAACAGAATTATCCCGCTAACTACAGACGTTTTGCAGGTTTGGAAGTTGACTTTTGTGTCACTGAATAATCCTAAGAATCGGTCAGACTGCTTGTTGGGATCGTCCACACTTACTGCTGAACAGTGATCTATTTCTATTTGGTTTTTCATTATATAGCATCTGTTGATGGAAGTCTGCAGCAACCTGTTGGATATGCTTATTCTGGCGACACTCGCGCCAAAGCAGTGACTTTACTCCCCATATTAAAGATACGGATCATGTTTCCTTATGCGGAGTGAAATAGATTTCTATATTGGTTTCAGAGTTTATAAAACTTGTAAGTAAATGCAACACTAACAGTGTGAATGAAAAATTTGATTAGTTCAAGTTAAGAAGTGAAAAGTGTACATACTGTATTTTTTCCTTATAACCTGACCTCATTATTTATTCATTTGTACTTTCACTGAAGTTGTAATCAATACTATGTAACTAAATATTTACATAATCGTATGCAGGAAAATGAACTTGTTTAACAAAGAAGAACACCCATTATTACTAGGAAAAATTTCCACTGAATTCGAACTAAAACTATTAAAACTACTTAAGTGTTGATCGCATCATCCGATTAAGATGACATTAAGAACGAAATTAATCAACTTGGAGATTCATATATATTGGGAAGCTAAAAATTCAGAGTAGTTCAACTGAAACAATTTCTTCTACATCAATTATTGATACGGTGTTACAAGTTATTGAAGTTGCATATTTGTTTATCACTTTCGATACCACAAAAGGTGTTCGATTGACTATCAAACAATGAACAAAATGAGAAATTATTTGGTTTCAAGCTTGATGACGGACATCACTGGAGAATCATTGAAAGCCAGGAGTAAAGGACAACTGTTTCATCCTTATTTGGTGGCGCTAAGAATCGAGAATCAGAAGTTTAAATCAAAGGGATGTTGGATCCCGCGCTCCAGTGACTGAATGGGAAACGAAGCGAATCGCTTGTGGGGTAATGGGTGCCAGAGAGTCCTAGGCCAAGACGAAACAGCTGTCCTCTAACTGATATCGATCCGTAATCAGTTTGAAACCGATAAAATCTCTAGAAGCAAACATTTGAGTGTAATTATTTGTTGAAATTCAAAATTTTCAATATCCAAATAATGTATTCTATTGCACAGAAATAGTCGAGCTCTGTTCCCATTTCGGCTTTTAGTACGGGCACTTCAAACATACTGTGATTTAGTTAATTGTGGTTATTTCTGGAAGACAGAAATCATACTTCGATCAATTGCGATTTCATCAAAAGTGAGAGGTGGGGCCAGAAAAAAAATAGGATCTCTTGGGTTAGTGGTGTATATCAGTTAGGCCTTCACATCTTGAAAATATCGTTGTTAAACTACAGCTTCTGTAGGAGCATACTGTCACTCAAATGAGGATACGGGATATGCAGCTGATGATTCTTAGACAGGAAGAAACACATGACCTGGATCCCACCACTGAAGATTTAGTCTAGGAAGAGGTCAGAGAACACAACTACACAAAGAATTATCATTCACTTGAAAGCTACAGATTTACTCGATCATAAAGTGGAAGTGTATTGCTGAGAAATAGTTCTACCAAAATGACACACTTTTCCGGTACTCGTTAGTTTCCACCCCACTTGTCTTTTAACAATGATTCTACAATTCATATTGAGCAGTACATCTTGGAAGTAGATGGATCACCCTATGAATAATATTAAACTGTTGTGAATCTGTAATATGCAGCAGAAACAGTTTAAAGAAAGACAGGACAACGACAACAAAGAGCAATAGACAATGTTTCATCGAAAAGAAAATTAACTATACGCATTTATTTTGTATAGCTCGCTTTTAATTAATTCATCCATTAGTTAGTGAATTCGTCAATTAATTTAGTGTAAAACAATAACAAGTAACAAAATTGATTTAAGACCAAGCGTACGACAAAAAAAAGTGGAGAAGAGGAGAAACACAAAAACAGAAAGGCAATAGCAAGATGGACGAAATCATCGTCGTCGACAAGAACGACAACAACAACACCAACAAGACTTATTGTGTAGTAAGATGAGGAGTCCTTCCCTTCAGCCTAATTAATCGTAAAAGGACTCTGGCAATTATTCTTCGGCTTACTTTTCTCCAGCATGTTGATTGTCATTACCGTATATGGTAGACAGTTTCAATAACTGTGAAGACTACATATATATTATTATTATACACACTCACCATAACTGTTGTTTCTACACACCAACCGCATAGAAAGCAATGCAGAAAGCGGATTTTTTTAAACAAAAATAAAACAACGAAACAAAGATAATATTATTCAGCAGCAAGGCGAGAAATTGACAGTTCCACGGATTATGTGACAAAATGTGGTCGATAGTGTGCAAATTAAGACTTTCTCTGCACTTTCTTCAGTGATCAGTGTAAATGTTGGACAAGCAGGGGCGGAAACATACACACACACATGCATGTATATATGCACGTGTATATAGTTGAGAACAGGGGAACTAGAACGAGAAAGCGCAGTAGAAAAAAAACTAGCCGAAATTATATATTTTGTTTTCTCAAGCAATTTAGGAGAAACACAGTAAAAGAGCATACAGAGACAACAGAATTATAAGCGAAATGCAAACGATACACTGTTTATTACTTCTTTTTTTTATTATAGAAAATTGATAAATTCACAAGTTGCTTGATATTTGTTCATAGGTATGTGTAAGCGTGTGTATAGTTTATATATTTATAATGTTTAATAATTAAGAGCTTAAACAGATTAACCAAGAATCAAGAAAACAAACAAACGAACGGAAGAATAAACTAACTCATCAATGATTATTATTATTGGAGTAACTTTACAAAATATAAAATAGAATAACAATAGCAGTAATAACAATAATAGTAGTAATAGTGGCAATAATAATAATAATATCCTAAAACTGAGGATTATTATTAATAATTTCATTTGAGGTTTTGATGTAGAGAGAGACAGAGCGAGAGCGCGGGGAGGGAGATAATTAATACCTTCCGCAGGACACGAAAACACCCCCCAGAGAAGAACGTGATTTTTGGAGAGAAGACATCTGTGTGAGTCTGTCTGTATTGTACTGTTTGTTTGTTGGCATGAAAACCGGAGGCAAAATCTGCGCTTATTTATGCGAGAAAAGAGCCAAAAAACCAAGTGACTTTAGAGAAACAAAAAACAGTGGTGGCACGGTTTTTTGGAAATTTTCCAAAAACGAAAATGCGCTGGCGCACGCACTTAGAGCGAAAATAGGAGGAGGAGAAGTAGTAGTAGTGGGGCTGGCCGGTTTGTGCACCCACTCGTGTTGGGAAAACAAACAGCTTTTCTTTTGCATTAACAACAACACGATAGTGGTGAACACACAAGCAAAATTAATCAATGGGGAGTTATTATAAACTAGAATAATAGTAATAAGACTGGATATTATATAATATAAAAATGGGTAGTTGACGAAATTTACGAAGTCAGAAATATGGAATTCAAGTCTATTTGCAGATGGTGACCATACACACACACACAGACATATTACTTCTTACGACCTAAAGTAAAGAATTTCTTCTTTCCAGTGGCAGAAGAGCTACTTGTACCTTGAGGTTCAGGAGCAACTCCAGATGGAAGAGTAGCTGCTCGTCCACCAGCAGCAGAAGAAGACGGTTCCATTGGTTGTCCACCACCAGCACTAGCTGCTACTGCGTTAATAGCCTGCACCCAATTATGCATTTCTTCTTCTGAATGAGCTTGAAACAGAGATTCACCACCATTCGAAAGTTTAAGACGGAAAACAAAACGACGTTTAGCATAGTTATAAGCTGGTGCAGCAGAAGCGCCAACTAAACTGACAGGAAGTTCATGACGGTATAAATCTCCAGGTCTTTCTTTGGCGTGTTTTTGTTCTTTATAGGCTGAAAGTGTACATGAACTTGATGACAGAACAAAATATAACTCATGCCATGAACGAGAAGAAGCCTTCTTTGTACCTGTCTCCCATTCATGTTTACGCGTTAAGACACCTTCGAAATCACGTGCTGAAGGTCTACCGACTTCAGAACTTACTCGTCCATGTCGTGGTGTTGTTACAGCAGCAGGTCGACTAACATGTTCAGAATCTCTAATGTCTACAGAGCGTTTTTCAGCTTCTGAAACAGGTGTAGGTATAGGCACTGATACTGGGGGAGGAGGTGGTTGGAATTCTTTAATGGCTTCAGCTATCTTTCTTTCCTTTTCAAGACGTTTAGCTGCTTCCGTTTCTGGAGTTCGTTCACGTGCCTTTAATTCAAGCTGAAGGTAAAAAAAAATTCGAAAAGGAATTGTCAACAAAGGTAAAAGAAATGGCATCAATTAACTGATTTCAAATAGCATCCTTATATACTGAAAGCAATGAGCCACATATACATACAAAAGTTGAGTACCATAAACAAACAGAGCAACTTACAGTTGTAAGCTTTTCAAGATCTCGGAAACGCTCTTCTTGAGTAGCCGCTGCACGTTCGAATGCAAAGTGCTTCTTTAACAGTGCTAAAGTTTCATCCAATGTTTCGCCTAAATCAGTATTATTAAGATAAGCTTCTTGAGACATAAGCCAAGTATCCGCAATTTCAGCATCTCGAGCAAATTGATAAACTTCCAAGAGAAGACCTAATGTTTCCCATCGTTCTGCCCATTGATCGTTGAGTAAAATTTTCTCAGTAACAAGCTATAAAAGTGTGGTTCATTAAGAAAAAAGTCACATTAGTTCAGGATATATATATAACGAAAAATAGTCACAACGTAAAAATTTTTGGTATTATTAAAGATTAGTCACACTACCTGTATACATTTTTCTCTAACTTCTTCTTCTCGCGGATGTCGACGATTCAACAGTGTACGGCCTAGACTTAGGCAAATGCTGAAATTCTCCTCTCGAGCATCAATTTCAGCCATCAGACTTCGATGACTATTCATTAATAATTCAACTCCAGATACATCCCTGAGATAAGTAAAACATAATAGATCTTAAGTTAATATTATGACATATTGATAACAATAACGTACAAAATCATTTACAGGGTAATAAACCGTATGTATTGATGCTCCCTTGTGAACGAACTAGTACGACCAAGGGTGGATAGACTTCCGTCCTCTCATGCCACTGCCTTCATGTGGTGATGTTCCTTACAAAAGTGAAAGGGAGAAGGCAAACGTCTGACGCTTACAACCAGACTGGTGAACATATGTAGGTCTGCACCCAGGCGAGGTGGAAATCCTTGACTCCAAACATATGGTGTATATGGTCTCCAGAATTCGAAAGGATCAAATGGCGTATGGACCTATTTTGGTCATCGAAAACCATGGGAAAGTAGTTCTTGACGCTACGCTATTGCCTTATGGATCAGACCTTAAGTCAAAGTCTCTGGGAGTGGCCCCCGTACGGCTAGGCCTGGGCATCCTGATAATAACCAAGCCTCCGCATGAACTATGAGATTTCGTGTGGCGTGCCCACAAAGTAGTAAGTTCGTGTTTTGATAAGTAATATAATAATCGTTGGTTGACTAAATAAAGATCGATCGCGTGATTCATTAATTGAAGAATACTAAGTACTGCGGTAAGAACCAATCATAAAACTAAACAACCTTAAGGACTCCTGAGTGAATATGACAGGATTCGGACGTACTAATTGAAGCTTAAAAATATTGGCTTTTATGTGATCCTCAAGATCAGCAAACAGTATACGATCTATTAAATGAAAGGATAAGCAATTAAACTGACTAAAACACTGAAAACTTGAAGGATGTGTGAGTCAACATACGATGGATGATATGCGTAAACAAATACAAATGCATTAAACCTGACAACATAACTAACCTTGGCTTCTCTTTTGTAGTCATTTCAGTACGAATAGTATCCATCCATAGACGAAGTTCACGTACCATAGAGAAGAAACGATGAACATCAGAAGCATCATGTAAGTGGGCTTTACGTTGTTCAGTAGCACACTGTAATTGTCGCCAAGCGTGAATAACTTCATCTCGACGATCGCATATAAGGCGCTCTTTATCTGCAGCATAAGATGGCAGTAAACCATTTGCTGATTCAACGATGCCTTCCACCTATCGAACAATAATAGTGAAATAAATGCATGGTAATATTTAAGTTCGGTTTGTTAAATAAGGAATTGTTCTTCATTAGATACAATAAAATGTTACACCTATCAAGATTTCATGCTGACGGTGTGTGACAGACTAAGTCATGTTACATTATATGTATATAATTGCGAGAATATGACACGTATAATCAGAAGGGATTATTACGTAATGATTGGGAAAATGACAATCAGTATCTGTAGAATACTGTTGATTGGCATAGTTGTCAGTGCCCCCATTAAATAAATATTACATTTAACAGTATCTACCGTGTGCTACAGTAGGGATGATAATGAGGCAGTTGTATTTGTCACTATACTTACTTACTTACTTGGTAGAACCCAATTACTCAGTACTCTGACACACACTTGATGTGTCACGGCTGATGACACCATTCAGTTGTCCAGGCTGAAATCACTTGAGAGATTAGAACCTGGGATTTATTGCTTGAGGGTCGAGTACTTAAACCATCATCATTGCACTACTTTACTTTAGCCCTGTCATCTCGTTTATTGAGATCGCCGCCCATAATGGGAAATCTCGAGGAATTTTATCATAGGTAATGACAAGACTGCTTTTATTATTTGCAGGTTGTCAGGGGGTTATAATTAGTGTAACTAATAATAAAAGTGTAAATTTATGCTTTAATCTCACCAATGAATGTTAAACATGTTAAGAAGATCTAAGAAATGAAATAATAGTGAAAATAGAGAAAAGCATTTTTTCAGAAAAAACACAAAACAACAACTGGAAAGTGACTTACTCGAGTACCTAAACGTGCTAATTCACATTCAAATGTGTTATGCTTGCGTTGAAGTGCAGCCACAGCTTTAGCATCACGTCCAACTTCTTCTGGTATACTGCTTACTTTATCAACGATACGATCCAATACATCCTAGGTAGGAAATAATATTGTAAATACATTAGAAACTTATAAAACTGAATAAGTTTCAACACAAAACTTCGCACAGTAATCCAGCAGTTTAAGCTACCGCCATACTCCGTATAACACGCAAAGGCAGACAAAAAGAAAAAAGATTCAAAGGAACTACAATGAGCAGAAATTGCACCCAAAGCAGAACAAGTATAGACAGAATAATGACAATGAAGTAGATTTAGGAGATCACAGAGTGAATGAATCTGCACCATTCTTAACTATTTTGACCCATATCGTCAACAGACTCAAAGGCCGTCGGTCCTTAGCATACCGACGACCCCAACAAGACAGTCTACATCTCCCTACGTGACCCACCAAATCAACAGTTGAAATCTTCATAGATTGATGCCAGGATTTGGTTTAATCACGGCTAACTTTTATTTAACCTAGTCCTAATTTAGCTAACATTGCCCGGAATGCGTAACACGTATCAATCTACGTAGCCTCATAACCTCAACGACTGATTTTCTTTTCCCAAGTAATACTCTACGCTTAATCTCAGTATTTCTCAAAATATGTCGCAGCCTAACACGATATAGAGCGTAAACACCACCTACAGTCAAAGATAGCCTCCTCAAATAACACTTTTAATAGCTATGTTCCACGGTTATACATAAAGGCTGAGCAAACACATCGTTCTATCGTCAGCCGGATATCATGCTTACGCCGTAGACGACGTAATTTGTTAAGTGCCACGTAAGCCTTTTATATTCGTGCTGAGATTTCGTCATCTGTCAGTCAGTTAGGCCTGATGCAACAACTTAATATGACAACTGGAGATATTTCATTGGAATCAACGACCTAACACATCATATCCGAAATCCACATTAGTACAACAAAAATAAGAAATAACTTGACCGAATGTCTGTATAAATGTATAATAAATTTCTTTGTGTTCTAAGGTGCTGGAACAGCATCAACACCTCAGAGTGTATGAGTGTAAATAAAGCTGCCCTGACAAATCTGAATTACAGAAAGTGGAGAGTGTAATATGACAAACTAATAAACCATTTTTCCATGCAATGAAACATACCTGACAATCAGCCAAGAATTTATGCAAATCCCATGCAGTCTTCAATAATTGAATACGTGTATCTATAAGTTCAAGTAGGTCAGCCCAAGCTTCATTAACACGATCTTTCCAACTGGCAATCTCTGCCGCTTCACTGTGTCCTTGACCAATGAGGGCGTTACACAATTCATTTGCTCCACTAATACGATATTTACCAAGTTCATTTGTTTCACGTGAAAATTCAGCAAAACGTTCTCGAAGTAGACAACAATGCTCATAATCTGCACCAACTTCATGACTGCTTGCTACTAAAATACGTTCTGCAATCCAAGCCTAAAAAAGATAGAAAGGAGGAATACATTGAAAATGGTAAATATGTTTGAAAACAGTAGGAAAACTGTATTGCTAAAAACAGAGAATCTGCTCAAATCACAGGGATTTAAGGGTTTCTAGGGATTCAGAAGAATAAAACTCGCACTACAAGGTATCTAGATCCTCCATTGACAAAATTTAGAAATGGTTATGCTACTTACTATCAATCATTATGATTGTCCAGTTTGTCAAATGAACAGATACTTATGGAAATACATATGCGAACATATGGAACGGAGCGGAAAAATGTAATTACTGATTATAGCTGGTGAGTTAGATTTCAATCACCCAGTACTGGGTCATAAGTCACACTTGTGTGTGTATATGAGGAGGGTGGACGGGACTCGAACGCCGGACACATTGACTGAAAGTCGAGTACCCAAGCCACTGCGCCACAAGTTAGATTCTCAATCCTGCATAAGCGAATTGGCTACATATCAGATAACGTTAGTCCAATTATTTAACATGTGTAGAACAGGTAATTAAGCGTTGGAAACACCAACCTTTTTGTATCTAAAGAACATCTGATCACACGTCTACAACTTAGAATGAAAATGTATTTAGAAGTAATGTTTGCATACCACTTTATCGAATCCTAAAATGTTACATAGTTATGGGAAAAACAAGCCAGTTTTAAAGGTCATCAGTATGAAATCTACTGACTCAATAATGAGGAATCAAAAATTACTCAGTTAAAACTAGTATGAATAACTTGGTTTCAAAATGAAACTTTGCACAGAAGTGCAGCATTTCAAATTCCTACATTCTGTATACTACACAAAGGTAGACAAAAGAGAGAAAAAGAAGTGAATCAAGGGTATTATTATAAGCATAAATGTATGGGAGAATGAATAGTAGTAACATGGAAAAACATTAGAGTTTAATGGAGATCACAGAGAGGGAAGGCAACTAAACCAGTGAGAACGATTTTCAGCCGTGTCACCAATAGTCTCCAGTCCTTGTATCTTAGCAACCCGAAAACCCCGAAACCAGGCAGCCTACCTTTCCCCACGTGGCTGACCGAAACCAACTGTCAAACACTTCATTGACTAAAGCTACGCTTCGGTCTGACCACTCCTAAGGCCTTTCCAACCTAGTCCTACGTCGGTTAACACTGCCAATCAATGAAGGCGATGGCTCGACATGCGTAACACGCGTCCTACGCACATCAATCGATTGACTTTCAGAATCTCATCAACTGACTTGCCCTCCTCGTTACCTAAGACTCTACAAGACTACAGTATAATAATAGCTCAACATCCTCAAATAGTACTTCTCATAGTGCAATACTGTAATCTTTGATACTACATGTGTAATCAGATGTATGTCATATGATATATAGTCTAAAGATACAAAGAAAAGTAGGATGAGTAGGATAATGGATAACCAGATGATCAGTGAAAGTCTCTCACAAAATATGTTTAAACAAAAGTAAGAAATGTGACAGGAAAATCATTAGTCCCGAGAAACATGAACTTTTAAACATCATACAGCTTTGTATCACTAAATACACAGAAGGAATTTCAAAAGTTTCAGAATTCAGGGTTAAGAAAAGATCGAATTCAGCGATAATCATATTAACGCTTTCCTTCTTCGTAAATATATGTTTGGAAATGTTTCAATTTGTATACATTTAGTGCTGTTATCTGAATATTCTCTTATAGTGAGGAAACCTTTCTTGGTGTTAAGTGTATAAGTAATTAAAACCATTGTGTAAATTAAGTTACTTAGCGAAAAAAAACTCACTTCAAGATCCAAAATATCTCGAAGTAGATGATACAACTTGAGAATTTCATTTAATCTTGATCGGCGTTCACCGCAAAGATCACGTAAACCAGCGTACATCTTGTCAATACGAGCCTGTTTAGCAACAACTGCTTCAGACTCTGGATGATTAGCTTCTAGTAGAGCTTGACTACGTTCACCCAATGCCCGGATTTCGCTAGCATAATTTTCAACAGTTTTCTGAAGTTGTTCGTGCTTTTTAATTGCATTGTTAGCACCTTGTTCATCCTGAAAAAAACAGGATATGAAATACAATCATAAGATACAATAAAGAATCAATGAAACTACGAGATATACATATTTTTTTATTTTTATTCCTTCACGTTCCCCAGTGGAACATAGGGCCTCAAGCTAGTGGCTTGAAGATTCTGTAGCAGTGTTTATTTTACAGGATGGGGTTGCTAGCCTCATGCCCAACCTTTCCTCTTTACCAGCATTATTTCTGGCTCAGCGAGGTAAAGAAGTGCGTCAATGGCCGGAAATCGAACACATCGGACCATGTGCATGGTCGGCTAGCGTCCTAACCGCTATGTCACCGACGCACTTTTGTTTGCAGTACACTCGACTTCAAGAGAGAGAATACAGAGCACAATATTAGACACTTTCCTTCCACAAAGAAGGAATGTTGCTCCTTGAGAGTTGTTGTTTTTATTAGCTGGTGTCTCCATCAATGACTTAGACACCTCCAGCCCATGTAACGAACACACTTCACTGGGATTCCCATTAGCCGATTCCTTGGGAATCTGCAACTAAGGTACACTGCATAATTTTGCAAAGTGAAGTGGAAGGTTTTAAACTGGTAGTCCATTACTTATCCAAAGAAATGCAATTTGAGGTCATGAATGCCACGGATATCGGCTTTCAAAGCACCCTTATACTTAGACAGTATTACAAATAAAACACAAAGGTTGAAAGGGGGGAAAATAATTGAAATCTTACCTTTGCACGTTCGTCACCCATCAGATAAAGCTCTTGCTCTCCCATCCAAGCTTCAGCTTCGCTAGCATCAAACAGATATTGTTGTGCAACTTCATTTTCTGCTAGCTTTTGCTGTCTTTCAGCTACTGCACGTTGCAACTGTTCCCACAATACCCATAATTCATCTATAGCTTCACGGAAACGATCACTTCTTGGATGACCTTCAACTATCATCTGCTCTCCTTCCTGAATGATAAACACAGAGTATATAAGATTGAAGGTTGGAGCAATGAAAAGATGATTTGGTATAGCACTGATATAAATTCAAAATTTATGACAATTCGACTGGTTTGTCTTATTTCAGGACAACACAACGCATTTGTAGTCTCTTCCAGGTAGGTTCTATTCACCACCTTCACGTGTCCGAGGTGTTCATCGCAAAAGTGGAAAAGCCATTGAGAAAATCTGGACCGATGGAAACTCGGATCTACCTAGGAGAGCTGAAGAACCCTGATTCCAAACCTATGATGCATATGGGCTCCAGAATCCGAAGAATCGAATGGCTTATGAGCCTGTTTTGGTCAATGTCAAACGTGAGAACGTAGCTCCTGAGGCTGCCACTCTACTCGCAGGGTGGTCGTTTAAGACAAATACCTGTTCCCGTCTGGGCGTCCGAGAAGTATCCCAGCCCTTACACAAACTATGAAATTTTGTGTAGCACATCTCTTGGTGGCGATAATCTACCAAGTTTGTGTTTGAATAATAAGATAATAAGGACAACACAAATGGTGATACATGTAGGTCGTAAACATAGATGCAACTTAATTGCTCACTGTCTTCATCCCTAAGGGAATATTAGGAAGCGATATTTTTTTATTACAGCTTGATTCCACACCATATTTTTGTAAAAGTTTGGAATTTTCAGCATGTGATATCGGTAGCCCAAATTTTGCAGACCGAACATAGATATCAGGTGTGCGTTGGCAAGGGATCTAACTTCAGACCATGTGCATGGTCGGCGAGAGTCCTAACCACTGTGCCACCGACGCACTCTCTTGACAACCTGCTTGAGTCACTGGGCTACTTGAATTTCCAAACAATACAATGCAGATTATTTTCTTTAATTCTTATTGCTATAATCATTCAATTATGTTCGTAAGTTGCCAACTGCACATTTCTAAATTGATTTGCACCCTACCCTCGCTTGGTAGGCTGTCTGTCCGTTTTCGACATAGAACTTTGCACAAATGTGCGGCAGTTCAAGTCGCCACACTCCGTGTAGCACGCGAAGCAAGAGAAGAAAGTACAAGAAAAGCATAATAGAGACAGTGAGCAGAGGTGTGAGACAAAGGAGGAGTAATAACGAAGAACAAAAAAGTTTCATTGGAGATCATGGTAGGCTACTCAAACTTTGATATAATTAAGACTCAATTTGTAATCCTGCTGGAATGCTTAAATATTCTCCAAAGATGGAGAAGAATAACTTTACTATATAGTTATCAGACATCACTTTCCTACAATAAATTCTTGTCGGATTGGTTGAGAACTATTCTCAATCTTGCATACACACCTCCGGCCATTCTTCAAATTATTTGCAGCTAAAAGCTCCACACTTATATTTTTCTCTGAGTTAACAATCTTTTCTTTCCATTTATTTTAAGCTTGTTTGATACGTTCTCTATTCTCCTTCCTTTATTTACCTGTTTTTGTTTAATGACTAAGACTGATGGAAATTAAAGTCAGAAATGCCTCTGAATCAATCTACTTTTCGTGTCATAACTCCTAGTTGAAATGTATATGATGGAAAACACTAGAAAGAGCAAAGGAGAATAATAACATACATGACACACTGCATCAATCCGTGGACGATGATTATCCACTTCATTGGTTAACATACGATGACGTCTTATCAATTGTTGTGTAGCCAACAGAGAACTTCCCAGCTTGCTTGAATCTTCAATAAGAGCCAATTTCTCTTTAATCCAATCTTTTTCATCTTCAATATCACGTAAGAATTGTCGAACTCTTTTTTGTTTAATAAGACGATCTCGTCGATCAGCTAATGGAGCTTCTAGTTCAGTAAGTCGAATACGAACTTCTTGATGAACTTGTTCAAATTCTTCACGACGTTCAGGATATTGTTCTTTGAGTTTTTCTGCATGTGTCTGTAAAAGAGGAAGAAAGGTTTCACATGCAATTACGCCAGACAAGTTAAGAGCATTGAGTATATTAAGATCGATCTTCTTGGAAACTTAGATTATACATACTAAAGAGGCTCCAATCACCTACATGCGTATGTACACCAGTAGGACAGTCCTAGAAATAGAGCTGCAAAGATTTAAGCCAACGACAATGTAATAATAAACAATCTCCTAAATCTCCACAATCCGTAAAGCCAGTGAGTGGATTATTTTAATCCATAATCACAAAATGAACTGAACGTTTTATTACAGCATCAAAAATAACAAAACCAATTGTTAAGCTCAATGAAATATTCTGTGGAAAAGTGACTTATCTCACACAAGCTGCATTATATAACCAGTTCTTTCATTCTACAAATCTAAACATTACAAATCAAACTTAATAAACAGTAACCGAAACCTATCAGATATAACTAGAAAAGCATGTATGTAGTCCAATGAAAGAAACCTAAGAACTCTAGATGACAAACATGAGTATGCGCCTATATGCCATATCAAATCAAATCTTCAGCTACTAATTTTCGACAAACGAGTGACCTGTACTTCGTCAAAAGTAAACTTACTTCACCCCCTTCCACGGTATATTCAGTAAATTGAAGTACTAAAGATGATTTATTAATAGCAGTATACAGTCTTACCGACTGACGTATCTTCTATCTAATCTTACTAGTACTGTGGTGAGAGCTGGCTGCCAGCCAAATTGGTAGACAGTGATTTACGCCGATGTTTATGCCCCCAATATTGGTCATGAGAAAAATAAGAACAAAGACTGATTCAACAAACAATCACAGCAAACTTTGCGTAGGTGGATACGATTTGCAGATATATAATCTGAACTTCAAGAAACAGCCACAAAGAGATGCAAAGTTAACTTTTAGTGAGAAACAACCAATCAGAAGACTGTGTTTGTTTGCTAACAATAATCTAAAATAATGTACGTGAAAATCTATAAATATGTGTTTTCTTAATAAACGATCTGTCGCCTGGCCCTTGTCTTCTGTTGTTACAGTACTACCTCGGTGCCACATAATCAAACCTGTAGTAGTTATATGACAACCTAGAGAAAAGCACTAATTAATTTACTCTATTAATCATTCCATGTTGCAGACCGTTTATGTATACATAACACTCAATGCGTATCATATATGTGAAATATACATAGTACACTAATGGACTTACCGCCATATCCTGAAGCATTCTACGTTTAGCAGCCAATTCTTGATCTTTACGTTCTTGATCTTTAAGGTGTTCATTAATTTCAACTAAGCCGATCTCCTCAGTAACTTCCTCTGTAGTAGTAACAATCTGTGAGCTGACTTCAGTGATCCAAGTAAGCATTGATTTAGCGGTTTCATCAAATAGTGTTTCTGTAGAATATTTAAAATTCAATGGATAAGATGATTATAATCCATATGAAACAATGATAATGATATTAGTTTAATAATAATAATAATGCTGATGATAATAAAGCGACCTGAAGGAGGGAAGGGAAGGAGAGAGAGGGGGGAGGCAATCATCACTTACCTCGGTTAGCATCGGCCATTTTTGCACTTTTATCAGCTGTTGTAGTATTGAGTTCATCCCATTGTTTACGTAATGAGTGAATTTTCGGTTCAACTTGTACTTGGAGAACAGGATGAGCAGCAATAAGCTCTTCTCCTTCCTAAAATGAAATGATTCAATATTCAGGGGATCATGTTGAAATAACTACTACCTACATCAATCCTACATTGATTACCAATATAAATTATTTTGGCGAACCTGTTTTACAATTTCTATTACTTCGATATAACTGTCCCATCAATCATTTGACGTTATATTTTTTCCCACTAGTAATATTAATTTTATGAATAATTGAGTTGGTAAAAAATACTGCTAAATAATCCGCTATCACGAAGTCTGTATCTTGATATAAATTTTTGCAAAATAGTAACATACATTAGTACAGAACCGTTGATGAGAAAGTAATTCAATAGGGTTATTACTTCCCCCCCCACCCCACTTAATCCTGTCTTCTAATGGGATCTCTTTTTAATGCACCGAATTAGACAAATGCCAACTAACTAACGACGTCATTTAATTCTAAGTCTTTGCCTTCTCATTCGTAACAACATAGAAACGCATACATTAATTCTTTTTTTTCTGCAAATCGCAGACAACATTAACTGCACAGACGAAAGTTTGAACAAATTTAAGGCCGATGTGTATGATATTCAATAGAACACGTTAGGAAAACCAAGTAAATGTTAGATGTACTTATTTGTAGTGCTACACTACAAACTATTGTTAGATGATTGGAGGCAATCAAAGGCATCTACGTTTCATGCTTATCGGCGCTCCCCGATAGCAAGCAAGGCATTTCTACAATCTTGAAGGAAGAATTCATGTCTCGTCTGAGATTTGAACCCAGGTCAACACCAGTTCTGAGATCAGAGAGGTTACCACTGACCTCAGACAAGATATGAGTTCCTTTAAGACTGTCGATACACGCCTTGTTGCCTGATGGTTAACAACAAGCACGAAAACTTCGTCCAAGGCCTTTTGGTGTTTGTCTCCAATCACCTAACAATAATTCAGAGTTCTCGGTGATGGATAGTTTCTTGACATGGTGGCCGAATCGCAAAGCTGACTGATAGAATTCAGGCTGTACCAAACGAAAGACCAGACGCATGACATTAGTTACTACCTAGTGTCCAAACAAAGTACACAGACTATATCACATTATTTCAAGACTAGCAAAGCTCACACACGCAAAGCACCTCAATGGAACCTTCAGAGGAAACAACGAGAGTGAAAAGGTGGAGGAGAAGGAAATACAAGCTTTTGGGCGATCGTGGAGCCAACTAGAAAATCCCACAGAGAACACAGAGTGAAATGGGGATGTGTTGCCGAAGCCCTATGTTACACTCGGGACCTAAGGAACGAACAACAATAAAATAATGTGACATAAAGCTCATGTAGCAGTTTACTTGCATGAGGTACATGTAACTAAGACAAAACACTCACAATTTTATGTGAAAACTAATACAATTAAAAACATTTCAATCTTCGACTAGTTTCCCGCAAGTTTTCACACCACATTAACAAGTAATGTCTACCTACCAAAGTAAAGACACGTCTTTCAAGGTAACTAAAAGAACACATTGACCAACTTAAAAAGTATGAAAATAAAAGCAATAATATTTAAAAAATTAGAATGAAATAGGCATCATACCTCGATAACTTTAGCAATTTTGTCCTTGTTCGCCTCAAGTTCCCCTTCAAATGCTTTGAATCGTCCGTATAAAGCAGCAATATTTCGAGCAAGTGGCGTCGGTTGTTCTGTTATTACTAAGGCCTTTTCAGCAAGCCATTCTTCAGCCTAAAAGTGAAATACTATACAAAACATATGATATAACCTACATCGTCCACATCTTGACAGAATTCTTGAAGATGTAATTGTTCCTTCAATTTTTCGCCATGTTCATCTGCTCGTCTCTTCAGAGAATCTCGTCTGGAGAATAGATCAAGAAAATAAAATAGCGTTTCATAAAAATATAATAACAAAAGCTGTGTAAACGGATCTTACATATTAGGTGTTACACAACTACTCACCGTTGTTTAATTTGTTCGCATTTATTTTGAATCTTCTCAGCTGGGAAAGTACCACGTGCAACTAATCTTGCACCATCACTAAGTACATTATCAATTTTCTCGTCAGTTGGCACTAAAGAAGCACGGAAGGTTTCGAAATTACGAAGATTTTCTTGTGCCATTTCCAAGGAAGTCTAATTAGTGAAATAAACAATATTTTCACAAATTAACATCTTAATAGCTTTAAAAGCACAAAATAAACATCATTGGTTATCAGAGTTCTGGAAACAAACCAAACACTGTAATTACTGCAGTTTCGGACTACTTAGTGGTAAGCAAACAGGAGCATGCAAAAGACGGATTTCATGCCGGTCAAGTTACAAGCTAACTTTCAATCGAGAGATCCAAATTCAAAAGCTCATAGTTTCAGACTTCTAATAGTGTAGCACTACAACCATTCGGTATCAACGTAGAATAAACTCTCTTCACAACGGAATCGACGAAACCAACGGTTATAAATTCGTATTTAAAAAATCCATGAAACCTATATCTCGAAACTAGCAGTAGTAGTAGTGTTTTGATATACCAATAAACTTATATTCAATTTATATTTGGTAGAACTGTCTCAGATAACCTTGGAATAGTTCTTTGCTGTTGAAGTAATGAGTTGCGAGGGGATTTGAGTCATATACCTCTGAATTTCTAGTTCGTATAAAGAAAAAGTAATTTCGCATAAACGTGTCTTCCCTCAGTTTCTTTTTGTTGTTAAAATCTATTTAGATGAGTGGTTTTCAATCAAATTCACAACTTACAATTGACACAGTTGGAAGAGGTGAAATCTCAGTACCAGTTGTCACTTGGCTCAAGTAGATGGTCAGAAATCGGGTGTTTTCAACTGATTCGGCTCTCTGAGCTGAGTTAAACCGGGTACACCACTGATGAGCACCGCCTCGAACGAGCGAAACAATCGTCCGATGTTTAGATCACCTCAAACTGATTAGCTAGCACGCACTACTGATTGACGTGAGTAGTATACAACTGCCCATCTCAATCAATCAGTAGCATATAGTTTTATGCGAATGGTGTTCACACTTTCTCGCAACAGGCAATAAGAATTTTTGGGTTGCATACAACACAAATAGTACTATAAATATGCTAACAATAACCCTGCGACCTCGTGCGGTGAATTAACGAGAATAAACAGAATAAATGATTGGAAACCTATGATTACAACAATAAATACATATGATGGCAAGAGGTGAAAATTGGTAAATACAAATTAACTTACGGGAGCCTCTTCCTTAGATACAACCTTCTCCATTTTTGTTAGAAGAACTTCAGCTTGTAATGCATCTCTAAAGAATGTCTAATTCGACAGTTAGAAGAAAACAGTATCATTTTGGCTTACTTGAGCTTCAACACCTTCTTGTAATGCAACGGTACGATTATCATGCATTCTGCGTAGAGCCTCCCAATTTTCTTCAATGCCATCTAATCGTTGAGCTAAGAACATGTACTGAGCATCTGTTTGAGCTTCAGTGACACGTCGACCGAAATCCATTAATCGATGGAAATCACTTTCATATCCGTCAATTTCTGCTTTCAATTGTTCATGTTGATCTAAAAGAGTTTCAGCTTCCTATAAGCGTTACATAAGAGAAAATATAGTAATACAAACTAACCTCTAAGTTATTTGGAACATCTTCTGAGGCTACTGTTATTTGTGTTCGTCGAAGCCATATTTGGAAATGATCCAGATCCTGCAGGAAACGTTGTAATTCACTGGAATCATTCAGTCGATCATCTCTTTCCTTGACAATTTCCTTCAGTTCATTCCATAATTCATGAATTTTCTCTTTTTCAGCTAAAACAACCTAAATTGAGGGGGAGGAAGGTAAAAACACTAAGTACTTAAAATAACTTACATCCTGTGTTTCTGGTTTAGCTTCAGCGAGTTCCTGTGCCTGTTCATCCAAATGTTTAACCTTAGCTTCAATAGCATTTAAATCTCGCTGTAATCCACCAAGACGACGTTGAAGTTGCATAATTCCCTCCAAGTTGTTATCTAATTCATCAGTTGATTCGATTAATTTAGCTTTATCCTTTATCCAATTGGCAGTTTCTGCACTTTCAATTAAAAATTGATTATACTGATAAGATAAATCTAATTGCTTTTTCTGTTTATCAACAAGATCTGCCAATTCATTCCATGATGCATTGAGTTCGTCTTGATGTCTTAATATCTTTTCAGCATCTGGATGATCTTTATCAAGCATTCTTTCGGAGAGTAGATTTACATTGCCAACCTTCTCAGCATTACCAGCCATCTCTTTTTCGAAACACTCGAATCTATGTCGAATAACCTCTAATTCTTCGATTTCATCACTCGGAACCAACGTGGTCAGTAGTTTCTCCTTCTCAGTTATCCATGTTCGAACGGTATCAGAATCATCAAATAGCTTATACATTGAAAGAGCATCATTGAGACGTTTCTGACGTAATCTGCATAATTCTTTAACAAGAGCATAATGCTGATCAACAGCATCCAGGCGTTGTGCTATGGCTGTAGCATCGCTGTCAGGATAGTCTGAAACTCGTGCAGCATCTTGATTTAGTTGAGATATAGTTTCTTGGTAGTTAAGTAGATTATCCATAACTTCTTGGTTGTTTTTCAATAAGGATTCTGTTGTAGCTTGTTTAAGCCCAACATCTTCATTACTAACAATTCGCTGCTGATCAGTCAACCATACATCTGCATCATCACAGTCTGCCATTAATTGGAAGAAATCTTGTGATTCAATTAAGCGTTGTTTACGTTCCGTTATCAAGTCAACTAACTGACCCCAGAGTTGATTCATTTCAGCGATACGCTGTGATATCTGTTCAGCACCTTGATTTCCATCTGTAATAAGTTGTTCACCGTGTTTTAATGCATCTTCTAGAACAATACGATGCATTTGACACTCTTCTTCCAGGGCTTTGTGTTTACGCAACAAACGACTTACTGAACTTAAATCATGTCCTAAGTCTGGACTTGACATAAGCTGACTTTTTTCTTTAATCCATTCTTTCTCATCCTCCATATCCCAGAAGAATTGCCACATTTCACGTGAATCACGAAGGCCACGGAGACGTGCTTCTGCCAAATCATGTAAGTCATCGTATGCTGCACGCAACTTCTCAGTGCGTTCTTGAACAATTTCTGGTTCAATAGGTCTGTATGTGCCAACATCTGGTGTGAAGGAGCCAACAATGAATGGAGCCGCTTGATCAACAACTTGGTTCATTCTACCGCCAAGTACACGCATATCAGCTTCTAGTAAACTATGCTTTTGCAAGAGATCTTCAACACCCATCAAGTGTTTACCATAGTCTTGAGATTTGAGACGGCTCTTTATTTCATCGATCCAATCCATCAGATAGGTCATTTCTTGGAAGATATGTTGTAATTGTAAACTTAGTTCTAAGTGTTGACGGCGGAGGCTTAACGAATCAAGTAGGTTACGCCACATACCGAGTACTTTATCTCTCCGCAGTTGAATGTTTTCATGGGCATGATAATTTTCCCTCTTAAGTTCCTCAGCAACATTAACCATAGCATTCACGCGTTCTTCGTAAGCATATATATCTGTCTCAATGGCCTCATGTTTCTTTGTTGCAGCCTCAACAGCTGCAAGATTATCACCAAAGAACTCTTGTAAGACAAGCCGCTGATTATCCGTAAGCCATGTTTCTCTCATACCAGCTTTACGATCGAAACGTGAAGCTAACTGTTCCAACTTCTCCTGACGTATAAGTTCATCTCGTACAGCTAATTCTCGTGCATGCTCAGCACTTTCCAACTTTTCCCAAGCACGATTTATATCAGCTATCATTTTTCCCTCAGGTGGATTGTACTGTCTTTGATTATTTGCTCGCATTTTACTTCGAATAGTGAATAGCAAAACTTCAAGGCCTCCCTTCTCCCTGAATTTAGGTGGCTTTTCAACTGTCCTGTAGGTGTTAAAGCCTGCCAACTGATGTTGTACACCGGAGAGGGAATTAGCGAATGTACGATCATCCAGTAGCGTTATAGTCTTTTTAATCCAATCAAGAAGATCGGAGGTTAATTGTTCATACTGATTTATCATATCGTCAGTTTCAATGGCCTGGTTGACAACTTTACCAATTCTCTTTGAGTGCACAGTGTCAGCTTTCATTTTATTGAAATAATGGTAGTATGTAACAACATAAGTAATAATAGACTTTTCATCGGGCTGTTCAACAGCAACATCAGAGGGTTCTAAAAGAGGATGGAGATTTAATTTCTCTTCAGCTACACTGAAGGCAGTAGCAAGATTCTTTAAAGGTTCTGATTTGGATAGCTTGGAATATTCAACTAGATCAGGTCGATGCTTATGAATTAAGGCATTGAAAGCCAAACCATCACGCCAACTTGTCGTAAAGTTCCGAACATTGACGTTAGGATAACCTGCTGTTTTCATCTGGCACCATAGCAACAAGGCGTCTTTAGCACAACGAGTTTCACTTGTCTGATACTCCTCAACAATTATATCTTGAATTTGGAAGCGCAGAATAATAGTCCAAATAAGTCCTAGAGTAAGTCTTGCATTTCCGTCAACAATATCATGAGCGCCAACATTTTCCAGATGAACATGTTGATCACACAGGAAATTTAACGACTTGTCCACATTTTCTAAACAATGAATTCGCATTTTACCCTTGTTGGCCGAGGTAAACGTTCACCAGATAAGATTTCCAAAAGTTTTAAGAGCATTTTTCCGTCTCTTAAGTCCAGATATAGATCTTCGATATTACAAGATACAACCGAAAGATGGGAATTCACCCATTTTGTGAATGTCTTTTTCTGAACAACCTCACGTTCATCTAAAGTAAAATATTTATAACTTAGCAATGAAAGACTAACCTGCAAGAGCTTTGATACGTGATCGTTCGTACAGTTTGGCAGTACTATTTCCGCTTTCAAAGTCATCTTCATCAGAAGTGTAATTAGCATTCTGTATGTTATTGGGTTCCCAGTGCAAATTTTGATGGATTGCCTGAATCTCCATCTCTGTAGAAAAAGAAACACGATATCACACAATATTTATTTGGATAAAATGATCATATTGAAATTAAGGTAAACTATTTCAAACAGATTGCTTTAGATTATCGGAACACAAAAATTCGGCTAGACCTAGAATGATTGACCCAGTCAAGTATAACAACGTAGAAGAAAGCTTGAACATTGGATTGCATTTCCTTGCATGTAATCACACAACAGCGTGGCACAGAGAAAGCAACATAGTTAGGTGGAGGAGATTAATCACCGAGTCTTTTTTACCGGTTCAACACTGCACACGTGCGATCAAGATGACGCAACGCCTATACAGGAAATATGGAAAATTGCTTCGAACTACACTGTGTAGATTCCCTTAGAGCTGACGATAAAATCACAACAAGAATGACAGGCTTTTTTACGACTCAGTGGGGCCATTCACCTCCTTATATACGAATGACAAGATGAAAGAAATCCATAAAAATCAAGTATAGAATGCAACGGATATATATCACGCTACGTGCAATTACCATCAAATGAAATAACAAGGTAAGTAATGTTAAGAGTAGTAGTTTTAGTCGGGAAGGTGCGTGAACTGATAAATTTGAAGTTTCGTCAATCAGGGTAGCCGGAATCTGTGGTACCCATGCTGAGCCGATGTCCTTCTTAACTAGCACTGTTAGCTGAAGTAGGGTTAAGTAGAAAAAGATGCGACAAATAGATAGTATTAATCGACGAAGTTGTTGGGCCGAAGTCACCAGTTTTAAAAGTTATTGTTTAGAGTAAGTGACATGGTCAAAATATTCATAATGGTGCAGATATATTTACTACTTATCTCTGAAATTCAAAACTCCTTTACTACATCATTCCCTCCCCCTACGTATACCAATTCACTTATTTATCACATTTTTACTTTTGCATTGTTTTTCAAGTTGAGACAATTTATTATGATGTGCATTAATGTGAGTTTCTCGGTTAATTCAATCATCTTCCTTATCTGAATAAAAGTAACATTCGCGATTCTAGCAGATAAGTGTCTATGCACTGCTTATGTCGTTAATTTTTCAAATGGGGATATATAAAAAGACATGATTATCTCAAGACCTGGAGATATTGCATATAAGTCGACGTTAAATGTCACAGCACAGTATGGCCACAGGTAGTTAGAAAAAGACATCGAGGAAGTAATGAGTTATACTAAGTCTTAGGACACATGGTATGTAGACATGGCAGTGCGATTTATGCAAGGAGAAATCTTGGACAGAATTAGAGCTGAATTACGCATTCACCATACACAGGTTTGTTACTCTGTGTAGTCCAACTAGAAACACTTCATCTCCTTAGCCTTTGTCTACCTTAAGGAGAATGACGGCTTAGAAAAATGTAACACTCCAGTTAACTTAGTCGTTACAGACTAACTGATAATCCTTTGGTCACTCCAGCTGTCGCCACCTAGATGAATTGTTTCTCATTCCACGTCGCTTACTTTAACTTCAGACAGTTACTCATACACGCTGATTTGACAATTGATGAGTAGCAAGGAAACCAGTGGAAATTTATGCTCATCATTCATTTTTCCTCATTAAGTGACTGAATACCTTATTAACGTAAAATATTACACAAAAGCCATGGTGTGGGAAGGAACACAAGTTACGAAAAAATGTAACAAAACTACAATCGACACAGGTGTATACAAAGGATTCATTAGATGAAGAACAATCACGGTTTCCAGAATCTTTATGGTAAAAGGAGTGAAGACATTTGCATTATTGCCAGTGATTTTGGTCTGTGACAACAAATGACTCCAGTCATTAGATCTTTGCATCACAAAATACTCAACTAGATAGTCTACAATTAAGTGGCTTTAAGGAAATTCATAGGTCATATGGACTGATGCCACGCTTTCACCCGAAAACCCTTAATATTTTTCAACCCACTGCTATTTCAGCTGATAATACTCACGGTGGAGGACGCTAATCTGACTCGGGTAACATTATAACCATCGTAGTAATCCATGCATCTTAACCTCAATAGCTGCGTTTGATTCCTTGACTAGCACTGTACCTAACCTCATTATTACCGACCACCTAAGAATGATAATTCAAGTGAGATGAATGCGTTAATATAAGAATAAAACTTGTGCACTGTGGTAGAGTGTAATTCCATTATGGGTAAATTTTGTTTTGATAAAGTCTCACAGTGTTATACAGTAATGTTTACTGATAAACATTACTGTATAACACTGTGAGACTTTATCAAAACAAAATTTACCCATAATGAGATGAATGCGGCCAGAAAAAGGTAATCTTACGTCTTATCTTCACTAACACTATTAAAACCGCGCAGTAGATGCGTCCTCTAACGAGTAATGCGATATATATATATATATATGCTTGCAGTGGTGAACACAATGAGTAATCTACTGATTGTTTAGCTAATGTGCAAAAAGGACGTGAATGTCTGTTAGTTAAACTTTTTTTCTAAAGAGTGACTAACATTTTCAAAATACCTTTGGATCTCTTAATGCATTATCTTACAAAACATAATTATTTTGAATGTTATGACTAAATACTTGCATTATCTAATAAATAACTAAAAATGTGAGGTAAGAGCCATAGACACACCGAGCTTCCGACAGAAAATTGGACTAACCGTCTAGGAGCAAGAGGTTTACTTCCCTTAGAACATTTAGCAAACCTGTGGGCAAGCGTATTATTACTCTTCAAATGCTTTTCCTTCATTTAAATGGTGGATATTAGTGATTAAGTATACAAACAAATTGACATTGTGTAGTGCTAAAGCTTCAGCATACACATTTCCATGTCATTATACAAAAGTTACATCAGGCAGGCCTAACATATGTATAACGAATTAGTTTACACACAAGCCTCCATCAGAATGATGGGTTTTCTGCACATCACATCTGTTTATAACGATATGTCTAATAGTGAATGTCATTACACGCACATAATTCCGTATACATTTGATAAAATACACGGACTAATACAGGGAGAACACCTTAAAATTAAGTACGAAGGCATTTACAATTACCATACGAGATACTTACGCAATCCAGCTATGATCACTCTGCTTCCGGTTATTTTAAACATGCAACACGTAAATTATTTCATACTACAACTTACACCAGTTGTAACTCAGGTTTATTTACTCATTTTAGTGTAAGATTACGTCTAGGCTAAGGAACCTAATATTATTAGTCTCCATGGTGAATATATATCAGACTATGACGTAAATGCCTCCGCAGATCACTCACAGCGCATCCCTATATACCTCCATATGCGAAAGACAGAGGTTGGATTTCTCCCCGAAAGAATTGTTTTAAGTTCAGGAAATACCAAGACTTCATAGCAAAATCTACATTTCAAAGATACCAGGAGATTAAATTCCCCTGACTTATGGTGTGCTAAATTCGTCCGTGCACAAACATGAACTAAGCGCACCTGATATTTTTTACTACGAAAAACTCGTCTACACGAGTCAATGGGAAATTTATGAGAAAGTCGCCTCGCGTATGCCATCCAGAACCGTAGAATACCAATCAGATCTGTATTTTGGGGATGTGACAATGACAGTAAAATTTCGGGCCACTTTAGAACCATGGGGTATGTACATGTCCATACTTTGGCCATCATTTGCAATTCAGAGAAAAGAAATGGTTCAAACAGTCGACAACTTTTGGCGGGACAATTTTACTAAGACTATGACACTGCATTACCTCCAATTAAAATGAATCTTAGGGATGCGAAGTTATTCGCATGAAAATATTAGAATTATACGGCGATTTAATAAAACAGATGAAGTCGTTGATTTACTAGACACTAGTAACTTTAAATATATTCCAAAACTACCAACACGATTTCATGCAACATATTCAGATAAATAAGCCCAATAAAAATGCGTGAATTTAGGAATGAAGTGGGAATAACACATTAACTCACCTAGTAGCGCCTTCTACCCTTGTCTCAACCTTGAGTGAAGTGCGCGCGCCGATTTACCGCCATGTGAGAAAGTCCTCCATTGTATACGATACAATTATTTTAAGAATTATTATGGTGAGTAACTAATCACTGTTTAACATCACTGTGGTCAAGTTTACTTTTTTCTGTGGTCAGGCATCAAAGACTATGCGCATCAAAACAGTGACCACTTGGCCATCTACTCTGTCTAATTTTCGTCAAATAAGGGTGAATCATGGTCTCTGTTTACAGAAGAATTTTCTATGGATACAGTGTCGAATAACTTACCTCACAATTTTTAGTACCAGTCGCAGTCTGCCTAAGCAAAGAAGAAATAGCACGAATAACTCACAGAAGAATGTGGTAGATACACACCAAAACGTCATTGACTAATAGCCGGTGCTTTCAAATCTCCATCAGTCGGTTGAGAAATCGTAACTATGTTATAATCGTACCAGTATTTTATGGAACATGTGTAATGTGAATCCCAGAACTCCTCAAAAAGTGAGGACGTGAGTTTCAAGCAACACCTTCCAGCTCAAGCGAAAAGTGACCATTGTCATATTTAATTTTAATGCAGTTTTCCGGACAAAACTACCGGTGAGACACAAGCGTGGGAAGCTAACATAAGTGCCATACCCTTTCAGTGTCTATAAATGAGGCCCATCAGAAAGTGCATGGGTTAGTTTCAGTAAATCAGACATCTAAGTAACACAGTCACACACCTCCTGGACTGTTTCCGAGGTGTGGAAATATTGCCCACCAGTGGTGAACCTGGAGGCTTACCATCTATTTAGGTAAGGCCAGCGTTAAGCGGCGTTTGTCACTCGCATTTCCTGCGAGGCGAAGCCTTGGACCTAGGTTTCATGCTAGTTGGCACTCATCAACAAGGCGTATCTGCAACCTTGAAGGAACTCATGTCCCTTCTGAGATTCGAATCCGCGGCACCCTGTGGTGGCCACATTGCAAGCTTAACTGACAGAATTGAGTCTGCAGCGCAGATATGACTAGACACGTTACACTAGTCACTGAATAGCGTGCAATCGGAAAAATGTACAAGAAAAGACCTAAATGACGAGAAAACAGATAGGGGAAGCTTTGGTATCAAATAACTAACTACCCCATAAAATTCATTGGGAAGAGTGGCATTTAAACCTCCAAACTCATTCATTTTAACATTTTTTAATAGGTTATGAAACAAAACAACTTCGTGCGTGTGTGTGTTGGGGTACCATGTGACGACAAATCGATGTTCAGAAATGAACACTTGAAGTTAATTGAACCTCTGTAGGCTAAAAGACCCGGTGGACCCAATTAGACAAAATAACATAATTTACAAAATACCCTGCAATGACTGTGAGGTCAACTACATAGATCAAAATAATAGGCCTGTGGTAATCAGATTGTTGGTACATAAGAATTTAGCTAGGGTAAGAATGGTTGACCCCGAGAAGATAAGTAATTTAGAAAAAAGCTCAACAAACGCACTGAATGAACTAACACACAACCACACAATAAGGTGGAAAAGGGTTAATATTCTAAAAAGTAATCTAGGTCTGTGGAGAGAGAGGGGTTGATTACCGAATCCTTGTTCATCGAATCTACGCCTAAAACATGCAATAGGAGTGATTCATCACTCATACCGGAAATATGGAAATACTACTACCAATCAAATCAAGCGATGGAAAATAATGGAATTATATAAACGAAGCTAGAAGGTTGTGTGAGTGCCTTGATATGATTATGAGCAATAAATTGTGCTTGAAACGTCATCAGCAAACATTACTGTATAACACTGTGGGACTTTATCCAGACAAATTTTACCCATAATGGAATGTGACACTTATGTCTATTCTAGGATGTATTTAGATGGTGTTTATGCAGAGTCTAAGAACACACCAACTTAGTACATTGCTGACGCCAAAATATGGTCTCTTTAAAATCCGGTTTTCAACATTTCTTCTCTGATTTCTATCAGCATAGACAGACAGCTTGATCGTTGGCGGCGAAATGACTGGGGTGCAAATGAATTCACAGATTTCTGTGGTTGCTTACATTATTCCCTCAGACGAATCAACAAAAGAGTTAACTGTGTGCAGGGAAATGTCCAGTGGCATTCTGGTATACCGAAAATCTCAAAATGGAAGCTGAAGAGCAGAAACGGGTGAAATAAAGCATTTGCTACTAGTGTGGTGAGAGCAGGCTGCTAGCCGATTGGTTGGCACTAATCTACGTTAAGGTCTAGGTCACTAATATGGGCCGTGAGAAAATATGAACAAGCCTGAGTCAACAACCAATCACAGCAAAGTTAACGTGGCAGAATATGATTCGCAGAGAGAACTCTATTTGTCAAGGAATCCCGAAACAACCAATCAGAAGCCTGCGTTTGTCTACCTAAACAACCAATCAGATGACTGCGCTTGTCTATAATAATGTAGTTGAAAGATGTATAAATACGTGTTGATTTTCATAATAAAACGATCTGTTGCCTGGCCCTTGTCTTCTGTTGTTACACTAGTAGAAAAGGATGAGTATTTACATTATGAAGGTATTGACAGTCTGCTCAGAGTTAGACTCAGGAAGTGAGTAGTTGCGTGATAAAACTTAGGTGACCTCCAGGTCCGGAAAGCGTTCCACGAGATACAACGTTGATTAACCACACAGCGATTAATGTGCCTTCAACAAATAAAAACTTATTTCCACTCTGCGTGTGTCCCTGTTGTCGATATTGAATAAATATTAAGTGACCTGGCTTATTCAGCATTGTTTCGTTTCCTTCTGAGGGTTACAGTAGGCTTTGATGCTTTCGAGATATTTGGAGTTCTCAGTGCTGGTCTTCTGACAATAGCACCAGCATCAGGCTCTGTAGGTTGAAAGAGTTTGAAGCTGGAACATGCACATTTTCTGAACCTGCTCCCTTGAAAGCTGCTGGTTGTCCCTGAGGATTTATACTTTTTGATCTGCTCACCTTGACCTGACAGTGCATCGTTTTTGATTATTCGTTAGAAACTGCTGGAATTTTCTGTTATGGTTTCTTTGGATCAAATTAGTCGGTAGAAATCTTCGGCCACACCGCCTGGGCTAACGTTGGTCCCCAAGCCTTCTTCTCTGAACAAGTGTTAGATAGAACATACATTTTCGAATTTTTCAGTGACCTGCAGTAATCCCTAGGCGGAATTAGAGACGATGCAATGCAGAGGCTAACAGCAAAGTAAGTGCTGATAGCCTGTTGCTCAAATAATTTAATGAAATATCTGAGATTATGGTTGAAAACATATATGATCATGCCCTTCTAACGAGTGACAGTAAAGTTCTTTGAGATACATGTCAATGTCCAGGTCGCACTACGCTGGAACTCACGATGTCCCTACAAGACTTTCAAAAACAATGTGTAATAACCAACGCGAAAAAACCAGAACACAGATTGGCGACTCGAGAATCCTTTATTCTTACGCCAATATGTAACCAACAATAAGGTTATTATACACAAGGTCTAAGAATAAATGTTATAAGAGTAAATCACGATAATACTTCTGATAGTTTTCGATCTTCCACTGAACAACGAACGATGAGAAGATGACTGGTGGATTGATGACTCCCGTTAAAAATATGGAGGAGTTGTGTTTGAGCAAACAACCATGAATTGATCGTTCAATCTTCAACTACACTGACACTACCCAAGTTTTGAGACACGGTCCTTTAACAGAAATCCAGTAGACTAACCTCACTTTGTGAAGCAGATCGAAGTTGATTAGGGAGGTGTCAAGCTTAATGAAGAAACAAGGTTGATGTATTTACTTAATGATTGTACTGTTGTTGCTATAATTGTATTGCGATTCTGTAAGTCTTCGTCTCCAAATGAAGGGTATACTGAAGCTAAGCGTATGTTGCACCGAGTATTTGGAAAGCCATAGTTGATTTCTAGGTGTGTTTGACACTGTTCGAGTTAACGGACGACAGTTAAGTGGTGACCTGAATAACCTCACCTCTTTTTGAAGACCTATGAAAATGCTTCGAATTCCATGAATTTTGTGAACGATTTGAATTCAAGCTCTATTTTTGAAGCAATCGGCAGGCACCTACTTGGTTACTTAGGAAACGGGTCAAAATCAACGCATTTATCGAAGACGAAAGCTTGAAGTCAGGGTTTGATGATATTTCGAGATTAATGATCAAACAATGAGCGATTTTCTCAATATATTGATTTCCAGCCCCAAAAATTAAGAAGTTACTAGGGAAAAATCATTTATAACAAAACGTTCTTGAAGCAGTGGGTGTTCAGGAAAGTGTGTGATGTGTGGTAATATACACCCAAAATGATGAGTGCGCTAGTTTTCTCGAAAAGTCTTTTTCAGAAGGGTTGCAAGTTGTGGGGCAGAAACGACCATGTTTTAGCTCCTTAAAATAAAGACACACAATATCTAACCATTAAGCATTAGAGAATGGAAATAGCGGTTTAGTTGGACTGCATCCAACATTGATTATAGCAAATAATCGTGCAAATTCTGTCGACTGCAGCAGCACTTTCAAACCTCATGAGGTTCAGGTCAACTTAGGTGTGTTGTCAGTTAGAATGAGAGGGTCAGGGTCATCTGCTGATACTTTCGCTTCGTTACATAATGTATCAGACTTCGCGTGACGCTTAGCTTTACGACCGGTTGGGTATCAAGGGGATGAAAATGTCCCTAGTGCTGAATATGTTCAACTCTCCTAACACTAGTGAAAGACTGCCGCTTTGGCTAGAATCCTACAGGGCCGTAGAATGCATCCAAGTGGGAACTGCTTACAACGCTTTCGGAGTGAAGCTTGATGAAGCCATGATACCTGACTGAAAGTAATCGTCAGCAAACAACGTTTGTATGCTATACCTTTTCCCACACTTCAAAATAACAGAATAAAACTGCTTGTCTGATGCAGTCTGTCGGAGGCTTGATTTGTGTTAAAATAAAAGTATGAGGGTAGAGAGGACCTGTACACCACAAGAACGCTACTATGGATGGACAGAGAGTTGACCTACACTGAATGCTCAAGTATCACCACTTGTTGTGAGTAAAGATATGAACAAAGAGATTGTAGTTCGCGAGATGTATCATAAG